ATGAGTGATGGAGCAGCTGCTCTCTGCCTCTGCGGTTGATGGCTGCCTCCAGGAGCCAGCACTATGCCTTAGCTGAGCCTCTGCTGGGCCTCGAGAGCCGTCATCTGCTTCCCTGTGGTCTCAGGCCAGATCTGCTTGCTGGCAGTGTTTTCTTTTTAATGTGACACCTATTCAGCCCTTCAAATTGCCTGCTGTGGGCTCGCTCTGAAATGTCTGAGGGCTCAGGAAGGATCAGTGGTTGATGGAGAACTCCACCATGGACACGCAAGGTCCTCACCAGGGCAGGTCCCTCAGCTCGGGCACTGAGGACCAGCCCAGTTGCAGCTTTGAATGTTTTAAACAGTGCATGGACCAGGGCTAGGTTAGGCAGGAGGGAATTTATTAATGCTGCTGGTTTGGTAGATCCCCCCCTCCTTTGAACACAAGGGTACCAGAGCCCAAATGCTCCTGCCTAACTGGCCACAGGGGTCCCCGGGGTTCAGTGGCCGCTGCAGCCCCACAGCTGCACCTTCGGCAGGGCAGGGTCCAGGCTTGCTAGGGGAAGGCGAGTGGGAATACCGGGAGCATTTCTCACATAGGCCGGTTTTCCCACACCACCTAGTGGGAGCAGGGATCACTGCCTGGCTGCTTCCTGCAGCATCTCCTTCCCCTTCTTCTCTGGTAGGCACCTGCTCTTGGCCACTGTCACGGGGGGGACACAGGGCTGCTCCTCCAAACCACGTCGCCAGTCTTAAATGCTTCCATCTCAGTGCAGACCGCTCCGATACGAGCCTCTGCCCTTCATTTCTCACCTTGTCTCCTTACCATCGCAGCTCACAAGCACAAGAAGCACGACACCTTGCAGCCCTGCGACACCGAGTACCCCGTTTTCGTGTACGAGCCGGCCATCAAGGAGACCAATGGGCTGATCGAGTGCGGAGATTGCCAAAAGTAAGAATTGCAGCTTCCCTTTCATTTGGGGGCTCCCCGGGCTGTGACGGCACGTGAGCCTTGTCGCAGAGCCCATCGGTGGTGACAGCAACCTGAGAAGAGCCACTTGCCGCAGTGCCCATGGCATGGCCACCACTGCATCCACAGCTCTGGCCGCAGAGCAGAGATAAACAGCCACACTGGACAATGAGGAGGTGAAGTGACCAAATTACCCCTTCTTGATAAAAGAGAAGAAAAACGAAAACCATCTGTTAATAAGCAGAGGTGGCTGTAGAATGAGAGAAAGAGCATTTTTATATATAATTTTATAGATAGATAGATAGAGAGATAGAGAGAGAGAGAGAAATATATATCTTTCCATTCCACAGATTTCAGAAAGGAACTTTTTTTCTGTTTTTTCATATTTCTGGCAAAAGTTTTCTCCTTAGAAAATTTTCCTTTCTGCAATGCTTTCAGCTTTTCTTTTCCTTTTTTAATTTTCCCTCTTTTCTGTTTTTCTACATAAAAAAAAAAAAAAGGCAAGGAGGGGGAAAAAAAGACGTGTTAAACTGAAAGAAATCAAAACATGGTCCACGTTTTATTTGCCATTTTCATTTTAAGAGAAAAAACAGTCCAAGATAACAGAAAAGTCATTGAGAAAAGAGGCTGTTTTCAGCGGTTGCATAGCGCCCTCAGCAATCACATGCAGAAAGGTGACAGGAGGATGAATTTCCACTGGTCCATCTTTTCCTAACATCAGGCATCCACACAGATCTGACTAGAATCCCTCTTAAAAAAACCCAAACCCGATCCTACCTAGTCTGACTTCAGTCTTGGATCAACTGCAGGAAAGCCTTAAAGGTTAGGAAAACAACCTGTGCTAGTCAGCACGACGTTAGGAAAAACCAGGCCTTGCCAAACATTGTTTTAGGAGAGATTGCAGATTTGGTGACAAAAAGCTATTGTATAGGTGCAACAAGCTCTGGGCAGATCCAGAGGAGCCGAGTGCCCCAAACTGACCTGTTTGTGCCTTAAGCTGTTGCTGCACAGCTTTCCACCACCAGAGCAGCCTGAGGCTGACCCCTCCTTGCTGGAGACAGCACCTCACCAGTGCTGTCAGCAGCAGCCACTGCGTCCGGCTCCGCTCCTTCGTAGTTGCAGCCTCTGGAACCCAGGGGCATGTCTTGTGCACCTTTCATGCGGGTGTTTGGGAGAGGCACGTGCCCTGACGCAGGCTCTGTGGAGTGTTAGCCAGTGGCCTGCTCGGGCATGCAGGCTTTCCCCATCACAAGCCAGATCAGTCCCAGTGGAGCGAGGGTAGGCTGTGTGCTCCATCCTGGGCAAAAAGTTGGCTTGCAGATTGGTGCATGGGGCACCTCTGTCCCGGTTAGTGAATTTGTGCGCGATTAAAATCTGCTTGTCAAAGGTCCCAAAGCAGTCATCAGCCAGGAATACTAACGAAATGGTCCTACTGCAGTGTGTGACATGCAACGCCTCTAAAAGCGAATACAGAAACCCCTGGAGGCTAGAAGGCAGCAGGGCTAGGTGATGAATAACCAGCGAGACAGGGAGGCCCTCCGGAGCAGTCGGGTTGGTCGGTGCCGTGGGCACACCACCACGAATCTGTAGTTCTAATCCAGAAGCCCTCTCTCTTGGCTGAGAGGTGGTTCGCAGGACCGGGAGTGCGTAGAGCCACGCACTGGCTGCAGCGTCACAGCCCTGCCACCAGCTCAGGCACACTGAGCCTGACGTCCCCGGCCTTCCCTATGCCCAGCAGCCCCAGGCCAGCCTGCAGACCCCTTTGCCGGGGCTGTATGGCCACCCGCTGCCTGGTGGCAGCACCCACAGCCTGCCAGCAGGCAGTGGAGGACGGCAGCGTGGGCAGCTCAGCCTTGCTTGGAGTGGCTGGGGTGCGGGAGGAGGGCAGGCCATGCCTGCAAGGCATCAAGCAGGGGAGGGTGGTGCAGGCTGGTGAGATGCCCGGACACGTACAGCGCCTTGTGGTGACACCGGAATGCGTACGCTTGGACACGCACCCCCTGCCGCTCCCCGTGCTCACCCAGGGGTGCCATAGACGTGCACGTGCTGGTGTGGAAACCCACAGTCACAGGCACACGCAGCCTCGTGAGCGCAGAGACACGCCTGAGCTGCCCGCGCACGCGCACGTGCACACGCACTCATGCACAAACCCCGTCACGCAGCCGAAACACGTGCCTGCCCTCATCCTGCTCTGCCCACGCAAGCCTTCTGCCCCCTGCACAACCTCCAGCGCTCCCGCAAGCCCTCACGTGCATGGCCTTGGGCAAATGCTTACATCTAGAGCCATCCCCACCAGCATGTGCCTGTGCTCGTCACCGGCCCTTTCCCGTGGTCTGCTTGTCCGATGGGGAGGTGAAGGGGCAGGTGAAATAATGGCTGCAAAGGGAAGCCGTACATTTTTCACCCATCACACCAACATAATGTGCGATGCTACTGGGATTCTCCATTTCTTACTCCAGTAACAGGAAATTTAGCAAAACTCTGCCCCTTGCAGGACCACGTAGTACATACATCCTTGCACTGTATAAGCATATACATAAATATACCTTGAATGGGCATTGGCACAGCTCTGGATGAAACCAGGCCTTCTCAGGTGCCATCTGCTGTGACATGCTGCCCCACTGGGGGAGGGTTTGTGTTGGGTTCTGGTTGTTGGTTGGTATTTTTGGTTGGTTGGGTTTTGGGTTTGATTTTGGCTTTTGCGCCTAGCATGGAGCTGTACATCTTCTGAGCCAGTTTGGAGCTTCCTGGGGCCAAAAAAGCTCCCCCCCCCCCGCCCCCTGTGTGTGTACGCTGCTCGCTGTGTCTCTCCCTCTTTCTGCTGACGTCCCGTTTCCGATGAGCTCTGTTTTCTTTGGCTTTCTTTGCTGTGGGACAGGTGATGCCGGGGCTGCTGCTCTGGCGCTGCAGTGGGAGCGATGTTCTTTCTCCCACCCGCTCTTTTCTTGCAGGATGTTTGTGGCGCAGCAGATCGCCAGCAGTAACCTGCTGCTCCTCGTCACGGATGCTGTCTGTGACTGCAGCATCTTCCCACCCGTCCTGCTGGATGTGAAAGAGGTCAAATATATCCTTCCACGCGCAACAGGGATGCATGGCTCCACAGGCCCTTTCATCTCCCATGTTTGCTAGGGTGGAAAGTGTGCTCCCAGGCCAATTGCCATGGGGGTGCAGAGCATGGCCAGACTTGTGGGACAGCTGGGGAGAGAGACATGGAGCATGTAGGGTTGCAGTGCAGTGGGGAGGAGGTAACGGTTCTGCCTTCCAGCCCCTCAAGAGGAAGCCAGCCTCCACCGGCCAGGCTGTCAGATGAGCTGTACGAGGGTGAGGGTGGACAGGCCAGAAGAAAGGGTCAGTGGTGGGGGAGGAGTGCAGCTGGGCTGGCTCCCCGACACTGCTCCCAGGTGCTTCCCTTACTCATCCCTGCTGGGTCCTCATCCCTCGTGCCTCGTAAGGGTGGGGATGTGGTCCAGCTTGTCACTGTGAAGCTGAGCCCTCTCCATGTATTTTGGCCACTTTTAGCTGCCTGTCATTCCTTGACACCTTCTAGCACTTGTAGATGTCTCCAGCCCATGCAGGGTGACCAGCCCTTCCCTGTCTCCCAGGCTGTTACACCTACATGACTTGTATCAGGGCCCAGTGGGTCTTTGCGGCGCTCGTCCCCCTTTCCCTGCCCGGCACTGCTGGTGTCCTTAACAGCCTCGCACATAACGCTTCAGTGAAGTGTGAACGGATGCGGTCCCAGAAGCTGAGGCGACGGCCGGACACGTGCCACGCGTTTCACCCTGAGGTACCCTGGGGCAGCGCGGAAGGGAGGGAGAGCACACGGCTGGCTTTTACCACGGACATGCCTGTACCCATGCGCACCCATCTCCTCTTGCACCCCTGCGTTGTGTGTATTGTGTGCCCATCCCGCTGGCTGGACCCAGACACAGCCCTGTGACTCCCCAGGGGGCTTCCTAGCAGGAGGACAGTCACCCTAGTGACACCTGGGAAGGGCTTGAGCTTAGGCATCAGAAGGTTGCTGGGTTTCTTTGGGGGGTTCACCTGCTGGAAGAGCCCTGATTCCTGTAACCAGCCCTTGCAACCTGGGCTTGGTGCAGCCGGGCAGCTCTCCAGCCTGGCAGGAGTTTGGTCTGGGCACCTTCACACAGCATGTGAGACAGCCCAGCTGCCCGTCCCTGCCCCGCGGGGCCAGGAGCAGGCACAGTGACCCACTCACGGGCAGGGGACTCTGGAAGGGGCTGCAGGAAGGACGTGCAGGCGGGAACTGCTCTTGCTGCAGCCTCTGAAGCTGAGGGGTGGGTTTCAGGGCGCGGGGCAGAGCATGGCAAAAGCTGGAGGTGGCGAGTGGCTTCTTGGCTTGCGGGTGGCCACCATGGCCCACAGGCATCAAACCAGTCCCTTCATTTGCCTCTGGTGAGCCTTCCTTTTGGCCACAGGCATTGCTGCCCCTTCCAAAGGCGAGGGGGTGGGCTCCCTTGGGTGGGCTCCCTTCCCTCTGCCGGTGGCCACCCTGGCCACAAGCAAGCTGATGCCTTATTTCCCATCTTCCAGGAAAATGCCCAAGACTGTGGTGGCGCTGCCGAGGTCTCCATCTCGCCAACGCTGCTCGTCCTGCCCCTGGCGCTGCTCCTGCAGTGACGCTGCCTGCAACGGTGCCACCGCCTGCAACGCGCCTTATGCAGCAGAGACCCGGGAGGACGGGGCTGCCGCTGGCCGGAGGGGCGGGGGGGGGGGGGGGGGGGGGGCAGGCAGGAATCACCAAAAGACTCCCTGGGAAGACGAGGCATTAACGACGTGGCACAGAGCATCCTGCGTCCTTCACCACGAGGTCCAGCATGGTGCCGACAGTGGAAGCTGCTCCTTCCTCAAAAGCCCACGGCAAAAGGCCTATGCGAGGACTGGCAATGTCGGCTCCCGGCACACCACCTACTGAGCTGCTCCTCCCGGCCATCGGCTCGCAGCTGGGATGGCCAAGGTCATTGGCATGGCTGGCATTTCACCATCACCCTGCCTCCCCCAGAACCATTTTGGGGTAGTCGGCCCCAGGAGGCAGAGGGCTCGGTGGGGCAGCTGCGGCCTTAGGAGAGCAGGAGGGGCAGGGGATGCTGTCTGCCTGTCCCTTAGTGGAAGCCACCAGGATTTTGAGCACCCAGGTCTGGAGCAGACCAGGCACAGCCCTGCCAGGACAAGGCCCTCAGTGGTTCCCAGCAGGGAGGCAGCATCTCCTGGGCTTGGGGGTGGTTCTCGACCGGGACCCCAGGGGCACGACATGGCGACTAACCGGAACTGCACTAACTTAACACGCAACCAGATGATGGGAAGTAGCACAGCTTGACTAGTTAGCTGGAGCTACGCCAGCTCTGACAAGGAAACCCCTCCTAACGCTGCTAGCACAGCATTCAGATTCTTGTCTAGCTGTGGACTTGCCTCTGGGAAGGGGCTATGTATGACCCGTCAAAAGAGGGGGTATGTTTTCTGCTGCCTGCTAGTTTCACTGCAGAAGCAGCTAAGAAACAGGCATTTTTCCCCCTCGGAGCAGCATTGCCCTGCTCATTGAAGCTGCCCTTGGTTCTCCCAGGGCAAGCAGCCCCCTGCGCTGAGCCTGGTGTTCCCACCTGGTGGGCATGGGCCATTTTTCACAGAGCTTTACGGACAGCGGGTGGGGAGCACACATCTTTTCTTTTTTTTCTTTTTTTTGTATGAACTGCTCCATACTGTCTCGTTACAAACAAATATATGGCATATTTTAAATAGATATTTAAGCTTCAGCATGTCATGTTTAGTGCTAATCGCAGCCCTACACTACATCCAAAAAACTCCACTCCCTGCCAAACCCATGGGGACAGGGTGCGGGTGGAGGGACTGCAAATGCAGCTGCGGTGGCCTGGTCCTCAGGGATGTGCCAGCAACTCATAGGCATGCCAAGAAGTGCTCCTGGTCTCTGTGCCGATGCTTTTACCAGAGCTATGGGAAGAAGAGCCTCTGTCCGTGCAGCACACGCTTGAACCAGCCAGCTGCACCCCACAGCTCTCTGTCACCTCTGAGGCAGGGTGGGGGTCTCGGCACCAGCAGGGTACATACCAGGGGTAGGGATGCCACAGCCAATGGCTACAGACAGACACAGGGTCTCACCTTAAGCTCTGCACCATCCCTGTCTGTAGCCACTCCAGCACCCGTGGGTACACCGTGGTGGCACCAACGGAGCAGGCCAGCAAGGCAGAACCTTGCCCTGACCTCCTCTGCCAGGCGGGCCACCTGAGAAGCCCCCTGCACCCCCCGGGCCCCCTAAGAGCTGTGTGGCTCATCGCACCGAGCTGCCACCTCCTGCAGGGCAAGTGCCCGCAGCCTCCTTGCTCGCTGCCTGACAAGCAGCATTGCCTGCAATGCTGCCCTCCACGGTGCTGGCCATGCGGAGCTGCGGGGCTCCTCACCAAGCCCACCTGCTCCCACAGCCACCACTGCTGGGGTTAGACCCATGGGCAGCTGCTGCAAAGGGCAGTCTTACGGGAAAGGGCTTTATCCTCACACCAGGGCTGTCCCCTTCCCCGTACAAGCAGGAGCACACAAACGCACCCCACATATGCCAGGGTCAGTATGCCCCTTTTGCCACCAGTGTCACCCAACACTAAGGGGACAGTACCTGTCACAACCAGGTCTTGGTGAGGACATTTCAGGATGTTACAGGTCTTGCTGTGGCAGGTTTCTCCCTGCTGGAGGAGGTGTTATGGCAAAGAGGAGAGGAACAACTGCAGTACTGGAAGTAAATCTGGAGGTGGAGATAGTTTTCAGGCTTCGGATGCAGTGACCTTATCAGAACCAGAAACAGCCGAGAGGATGAAGGCAGTGCAGAGGGAAAAGGGGCTGCTGTCAAGGCTGAGGAGTCAGGAGCTACTGGCAGAAAGAGGAGCCACCGGCTCAGGGCATCCCTCACTGGCTGGCGCAGCTCCCCCAACTCCGTGCGCCTGCCCTTGATGCCTGCCCTCCTGGGGCACCACTCTCAAGGGTGACCTCCCTGTCAGAAAACATTAGCAGTCCATCTCCACTCAGCTTAAAAAAGATATACAGATACACACTGGCATGCTGCATATGAACCACGTTTGACGTCAGGTGCGTTAATCCACAATAAACATGGTCCTCTAAAGAGACGTGCCTTGAGAGAGTGAAGCTGTGAAAGATACCTGGCTTAGTTGACTCAGCAAGTTTGTGCATCAGTTGTAACTGGAGGGAGGGAATAGGACAGGGGCGAGAACTGGATTATTTCTTAAACCAAAAAATAGGGGTGAGGGTTTGCCCTGACTTAAAGCCCAAGCGCACACTGGGAACCGCACCGTTTGCACGCCGCAGTGTCAAGCAGCTGCCGTGAGCAGCAGGAGGATGGACACCTCCCTCGATGCAGGCAGTGCTGGGCTGCACCCGGCTAAAGCAAAAAGAGCTGTTCCTGCAGCTGCCAGTGCCTCCCCGGGCCCCTACCAGGCAGCAAGAGCCAGGCTGTGGGCACGGGTGGCCGGGGGCTGGCACCGGCTGCCAAGCACTCGCTTCTGCCTGTGCAGCCTCAGTCCCACAGATCACATCCCAACCCATCAGCCCATGATGCAGGGCTAGAGCTGGGGACTCAGGGTGAAACCAGAGGGCAACTAATAGATGCTCTGGTGTGTCTCCAGAGGAGAGTGGTCCCTGCGAGGGGGTGAAGGTAAGGCATGACCCCACAGCCCCCCGCCACCTGAGCTGGGGCTGCTCTGGGAGTGCCCCCCTCCTCCAGCACAGCTCCCCAGCCTCTGGCTGCAGGGCCATCGGGGAGAGACGTCTCCTTGTGCCCCTTCACGGGGCTGCACCACCTGCTCCCACTGTGCCCCCACACTTGCACTCAATGCTTGATAGGGATGCCCCAGGCATCCCTTCTCACCCAGGTCCTGTGTGGGAGGATGGAGGAGACCTCAGGGTCCCTGGGAAGCTCCAGCAGCACCATTTGGGCAGTGCCAGGCACCCCTCTAGAGGCACTCCTTGCTGCCCAGGGAAGGAATAAGATTTATAGACCTGCTCCCAGGCTCACTGCGGGGAGCTTCCCTAGGCTGCCCTCAAAGCCCTGGTGGGTGTGCTTGGCCAAAGCGGTTCCCAGGGGCCCTACGCTGGTGCTCCCCAGGGGAGGCAGCCCACGCACACTGCAGCACCCAGTTCTGCTACAGAAGTTCCTGTTTCTGTACACAATGTTTGTCTTAGCCATTTATTAGGAGGCAAACACAGCCCTTTTCTTCCCATGCTGCTGCTGACCCACAGTGGAATGAGATGCACCTAGGTACGGTTTTAGCCTTGGAAGGCAAATGCCTTGCTTGCTTCTTGCCAGCAAAGCAGACCCCAAGCACACCTACACATTTTTGGTCTCCAACATGAGGTTAAGCAAATTCTACTGCGTGCTCTGCTGGCAGGGCAGAGATAGCAGCTCATGGCCCTACAGCAAGAGAAAAATCCCCAGGAAGGGCAGCTGCTCTCGCTCCCAACTTCTTCAGCCATGTGCTGGGCACAGCGGATGAAAATAGGTCAGCAAAAATCAAACAGAGACCTGAGGCCAGAGGATCCAACCAGCAGCGGAGCAGCTGTGAGAGGAGCCATCTCTCACTTCCAGCTGAGCAGCATCCTGCTGCCATCCTTGATAGGGCACTATAAATCACAGCTGTACCTCCTGCAATATCCCATCCACCACCACCCACCACC